TGAATTGAAGCCAGGTGGGCGGTGGAAAAGAGGCATTTATGCGTCACAGCATGGAGACCATTGGTCTGGATATGAGACCATATGAGCTCACACTCTTAGCCTATGAGCCTCCATCAGTTGTTGATTAGAGAAGTTTTGGTGGACAGTGAAGCACTAGGGTTTTCCCACTACCTGAAATATGAGCATGTGATGATGATTTGATAGTATCAACCTGTAGTTCAAGCACTTGGGAGACTGAGACAGGAGGATTCCCTAAGTCCAAGGCCAGCCTGGGCAGTGTAGTGACATGGTATGACCAGTTGGGAAGGAAGGTAGAAAGGGCAACAGGTCAAACAAATGCTTTGAGGCTTTGGAGTTCTTTCACATTCTCTAGTGACATTTGTCCTTGTGTCTTTCCCGTTCACTTTCAACTCTTTGATGAGCTTGGATTGTTCTCTTTGTTAATTCAGAAGCCTGCAAATGATGACACGATTACACATTCGGCAGGCCACACCCAAAATGCTTTCCAAATTGAAAAAAATAATTGAGCCCGGTATTCTTGTCTAAAAGTAGAGCTAGTGAACAAAACAAACTAATACCTGGAGGACTGAGTATGGAGTCAGATGTTTGACAACAGTTAAGCACATGGCCTCAAGATGTAGGAAACAGGTAAGATAAAACCAATATATTGAAAGCACTATTCCAAATTATTTGTCAAAAATTATTTGACTTTTTATGATATGGGACCTAAAGATTCCCTCTCTCTCTCTCTCTCTCTCTCTCTCTCTCTGTGTGTGTGTGTGTGTGTGTGTGTGTAGCTTGACAGTTTTTACACTTCGGTCAACAGGGTGTGCTGGTCATCATGTGTAAAATGGATAAAAATGTACATTCTGCTTGATTAGGAATGTGCACATCCTTTGGTAGATGTGGGTAACAGATGTCTTTTGGGTAACAGATGTCTTGGCTTTTACAGACTAATTGGCAAAGAAGGAGAAAAAGGGAGATAATTAAAGGGGTGGGAAGAGACACGAGAAAAGTGCAGTCTTCGTGTTGGGGAAAAGATCTAATAGACCTTCTTATTATGAGTAATTGCCTCTTTCTTCAACCTCATTTGCTGTCTCCTACCATATGACTTAAGGGTAAGTATAAGATAAAAAACCATAAAGAGGGAATTCTGTCTCCTAACAACCAGATTAGTCTTAGATTTGTCTTGCCACGGAGTATTCTAAAAACAACCAACCAACCAAACAAACAAACAAAAAAAACTGACTCAATTAGCATCAGGTTTTAAGAAACAAAATAGAAAAATATAAATCAAATCAGTACTGGCAACTTCCATTTTAATTGGCAGCTTAAGGTTCTGTGTTGAGGATGTTTGGTGTAAATATTCTCTAATTATACAAGTGCAAGTACATGGTGGACCAATGAAAAGTGAAAAATGAGAGAGTGAATATGGCATGTGTTCCTTTTTCATTTTAGTTTTCATTTAGTTTTCTGTGTGCTCCTCATCAGCGTGGGAGCCTGACAGTTGACCTGGGGTAGGAGGGACACTGAACAGATGTTTGAGCCCATTACCATGAACAAATCCTCATTTTGTCTGTGTTTTCTGTTGTGCAAAGTTTAAGGTGAGGCAGTGTTTCCTATGTCTTCACTAAGGTCTACATTATCCTGCTGTGTGCCTTTTGCTTTAAAGCAAAGGGAATTCTATAGCTTGTTAAGAAATGAGTGAAAAGTGTAAATCATTCTGTGTTAAGGAATACTATGGATTCATTTTTATGAAGATCCAGTCAGTGTTTCGAAGAGAAATATAGGGGTTGTGGGTGGAAGGTCCTCAGAGGCTTACTCAGTGTAGAATTTAGATAAGCTGAAAAGGCAGCTTATTTGTTCTAGCTGCAAGGCACATGATACTGAGTTTTATTTGACCACCTGTCCTGTTGGTAAACTAGTAGATAGAATTTGCCTAAAAATATCGGCCTTGCCTTAAATTTCATTGAAATAATAATGATCAAAATTTCAGATATTGGTAACAATGGCTAACTTGTTGCTGTTATATTAATATGGTATTTTATTTAGCCTTTCAAAACCAGTGTGGTTAGCCAAATAGTTCTCAATAGTGGGACAGCTTTGGAGGGATAGAAACAAGTTCACTTGTGTAGTCTAGAGACTGGTATATTCAATTACTTGATTATTTTGCACCTCATTTCATATCTGTAAAATGCAGATACTGACAATCAAGTTGCCCTGGGAATTAGACACCATGGTAAGTGCACATGAAATCACCATGTGCTTAAATGTTGAGTGGTTGATGGCTGTTTTCACTCAGTGGGTCCATACATCCCTCAGCTGGTTTCCTTGACTTCCTGCATTAGCTCCTTCTGGAAACAAGCAGTTAAGATTTGAAAAAAGATATATTTATGCTGAGCTTTGGTGTCACACACCTTTAATCCCAGCACTCGGGAGGCAGAGGCAGGTGGATCTCTGTGAGTTCGAGTTCAGCCTGACATGTTCCAGGACAGCCTCCAAAGCTACAGAGAGAAACCCTGTCTCAAAAACCTATAAAAATCTATTTTTATTTTTTATATAGTTTGTTTTTCTTGCATGCATGTCTTGGTACCATGTGCATGCAATGCCTGGGAAGGCCAGAAAAGAGTGAAGTATACATTGGAACTAGAGCTACAGATAGGTAATTATGAGCCATGATTTGGGTGGTAGAAAGCAAATCCAGGTCCTGTGTGAGAGAATCAAGTGCTCTGAGCTGCTTAGATAGAAAGTAAAAGATTTGATTCTGATGACCACAGTGACAAAGGGTTTGGGAATAGTATGTCAAAGGGCTAGTCTACCCACTTTCAGTCATAGAGTGGCAAGTATTTCTCATGCTTTATAATATCAGATTTCCCTGAATTGTCAATTTAGAGTCATTCTATCTATAAAATGCAGATAGCACTCTGCAGGGATGTCAAGATTTCTGTGCTTAGTGCCCTTACTTTGGTTCATTTGTAGAGGACACCATGGCTCCCCAAAGTCAGCCAGCAAGTGAGGGGCAAAGCCAGGCTAAAAACCCTCCTTTCCTCTTTTTACTGGCTGTGGTAACAGTTAAGAAATACATTAAAGCCTACCAAAACAGTCAGATCAACCCGAATTGCTATTCCTTCACTAGAACTTTTTTCTACTACAGTTGCTGAAAACTAGTGAGACAAGAGAATAGCCTAGCGCAGACCTTGGAAAGTACTAGGAAACTCAGTCCCTCTGGCAGAGCGGAGACAGCCACATTTCTTTGTCAGTCCTTTGAAATGGCTGCTGTGTTCTGCTTCATGCAGCTCTCCTTGCAGGGATTATGGAGGTCTGCTGATGGTTTGTGTAAGAAAACTAGTTTTTCTCTCTTGAATGTTAGGAGAGGCAGTTACTAATGTTTGTGTCATACTTCCTATGTGCCAGAAGCGAGCACAAAAGATTTATATGATTAATTTGCTCTCCATGGCAACCTGATGAGGCAGTATGTTGTCATTGTCGTTATCACCTTTCAAAGGAGGCCCAGAGGGACTAAGTAATGTCCAAGATGACAAAACATGAGCACTTGAAAGGTTGGGAAATGCTATGATTCCAATGTCAGAGACACCTGGGTTAGTGACTGCTCTTTGTATGATCTCTCTTTCCTATAAGGGAACAGACTTAATATGCTTTTGTTGGTGGTGGTGTTTTTGACAGTGTCAACTATGCAGTCCCAGCTTGCCCAGAACTTGTGGAAATCCATCTGCCTCTGCCTCATGAATGCTGGTATTAATGGTGTCCTCCACATTACCACGTTTTAGTCTCTTCGGCTGTACCATCTCTCCAGCCCCCTTAAACACATTTCTTAATCACTAGGTTTTGTATACCTGGCTGTCTGGAATCTCAGTCAACCTAGAATATGTGATTCTACTAATCTCATTACTATTGATAAAAAGAAGATAAAAATGATTATTCACTTATAAATTGAATATTTTGTTGGTATAAAATTGGGTCTAGTTTTAGTAATTAGATGTTTAAAGACTAATTTTATTAACTGATTATATGGCAGAGTTTTAGATATTAAGATAACTGTGGGTAGTTATGATTTAACAAAACATCTATTAAAGTCATGATATAAATATTTAGAATTGCATTATTTAGAAATGATATATTGAAATAAAAGTCTGAATAAAGTACAACCTCTGGACTCTAGACTGACATCTCATATCGACAGAAATATCAAGTCATGTGGACACGTTTGTGAGGTTCTGAGTGCGAGTGTATGGTATGATAAGGGGAATGTTCAGATGATATGTTAATAAACTGATTAAATTATCAACATCAACGTTTTCAAAGTTTTATTTTCATCTTTATAATAAACTCTATTGTCAGTGTGCTTTCTTTTGTGGAATAGAGAGAGGTGCTCATTAAAAACTGTCTGAAGGTTAAAGTCTACATTCAAATGGTTGTCATTCTAACTATAGTCCTTAGTGAAAGGGGAAGTAGATTGGTTTATCAATGCCTTCATGGTGCCTACAACAACAATATCTACTTTTAAGGTGCAGAGACTATAAACACCTCTAGTTTTTGATCTATGTGTTTCTATAATTTGTTTTGTGTTCAGCACATGCATTTAAAAGCTTGGAGAAGTGTGAATGAACATAGTGTGCTGGCTTGTTGGGTTGCAGTTGCCCTTGCCTTGCGTCATTGTTCTGCAAGCTGTACCAGCCAGCTTCTTGTTGCTGAGTTACTGTTTCCTAGCATTTCATAGGCATTATCGATTTAGGAGTAAACCAATTGAGCTTGAGAAGGCTTTAGAGTGTGGACCAGGAAAACATAATAACTATAGGAACCACTGTATAGATTATACTATACAGAGGATAGCTGATTGAGTAGCCTGTTTAATGAAGCATAGGATGGAGAGGGCATCGTCATCACATTTTAAAACTTAAGATTGAATTTTTGTCCTCAAGTACCACAAAGTAACTGCATGCCATCTTCTGCATTTTAAGCTTCTTGCCTTACTTTTTCAGGACTGAAGTGTGTGTGTCTTTTGTGTGACTCTTCAAACTTTACCTGCCAAACTGAAGGAGCGTGTTGGGCCTCTGTCATGTTAACCAATGGAAAAGAGCAGGTGATCAAATCCTGCGTGTCCCTCCCGGAATTAAATGCTCAAGTCTTCTGCCATAGTTCCAACAATGTGACCAAAACCGAATGTTGCTTCACAGACTTCTGCAACAACATCACACTGCACCTTCCAACAGGTAAGGGGTTTCATAGCCCCACTCATTCCTAATTATTATCACTCTTGGAAAACATGGCAGAAACCAAACCATCGAATGTCTCCTGAGATAAAAATGTGTGCTTTAAGCTCTTCTTATTTTTGGCTGGTGAAATTCTCCAGAGTCCAGCTGAGGTTGATGTTTTAATTTTAAATTTTGTATCACTGTCAATACATTGATGGTAGTGTCACAATCTTGGGGAAATTTGACCACATGCATTACATTTTTTGACATAATTAATGGACCTTGAGAAGATATAAATTTTCATGGACTCCTTTTTTATCAAAGAAAGAAAAGAAAAAAGGGTATCTAAACTTAAATGATAGGAATAGATCATCAGTCTGTCTACACTACTAGAAGGGAAGGGGCAAAAGAATGTCTTGGAATGATGAAAACAGTCATATGTGTGCCAAGCTTCATCAAACTGAAGTTTGTGTGTTGTATCTTGTTAAAATCATAACTCCCTAACACTGATTTTTAAAAAATGAAAGACTGGATCACGATTGAGTTTGTGGGTACTAGCAGAGAACGTAACTGATCAGGGAAGAATCTTCATTCTACCCTAATAAGACCCTTTGATTGCCTGGCTGCATACACAGAATCTTGTCCTGAAAGAGATGTTGCTGTCCAAGGTCTTTCCTCCACTCATGCTCACAGGCAGAGCATGGCCCCATAAAAAGCTACTGCTACAGCTAATGGGAAGTCCCTCTTCATCTCCTGGACCTTTTGTATCTTGTCACCAATAAAACCAACAATGAATATACACTCTTACTTCAGGATGCCTCTGGCTCTCAGGTTAAACTAGGGGAGGCTATTACCATGGCATTTCAGATCATTACTAAATTCAGGAAGGTTATGTATAAGCAGAGGGAGAAAGTGCAATCCAAACCAACATTGCAGATGGCTTTAGGGCATGAAATGGGTGGATTATAACTTGTCAGGTTGAACCAATAAGTAGTACTTAGAACAACATTTTTCTAAAGGAAGAAATAGGCACCATAGTGGTACTTGAAAGGGTTTTGAGAATGCTTACGTGACTATTGAAGTAGAAAACATGATACTGGACTTCAAGAGTAGTTATAGGTCTGTACTGTAAAACCACAGTGAATTTTGTTAGTGTGCATAACCCACTTATCTTGATAAAAAAATTCAAAGATGGATGTCATTAAATAATATTAGCTTTCTTAATTCTCTTGCTGGTTTTCAAAATGTCTTTTTTTCATGTTACTATATCTTTAACACTTAGGGTTTGTTTGTTTGTTTTTGTTTCTTGAGACAGGATTTGTCTGTATAGCCCTGGCTGTCCTAGAACTTGGGCTGTAGATGAAGCTGGCTTCAAACTCACAGAGATCTGCCAGCCTCTCTATCTGCCTTTTTAGATTTTACATTTAGGGTTATGTTCAGTTTAAATTTGGGTAAAATGACACAGTACATAATAGTGAGGTAAAGGTATGATTTTATTTTTTTCCATGGGGGTAGTTAGTTGTTTCAGTGTTCAACATTAGTGGTTAAAAAGCTCTGGCCTTGAGGCTGGAGAGATGGCTCACTGGTTAAGAGCATTGACTGCTCTTCCCAAAGACCCAGGTTTGGTTCCCAGCAACCACATAGAATCCTATAAACCTCTGTAACTCCATTTCAAAGGGATCTACTGTCTGCTTCTGGCTTTTGTTGTGGGCATGGCATGTAAATATAAATAAATCTTTAAAAGTAAAAAGCATTGGCATTTCCATGCAGTGTTATTTTGATTGATACCTTGTTTAAAAATAAGGTAGAAAATATGTGTGTATACACACATACACACACACACAGATATATATTTAATGTATATATTTAATATATATTTAAATGGGTATATTTAAGGATGCTTTGGGTTATTTGGTAATTTTTCTGTGCCTTAAGTTACTACTGAACTGTCTTGATTACTACAGATGTTTAATAAATATTGAAATTAGAAAGTGTGACCCTTCTAGCTTGTTTAAAACAACTTATTTGAATATAAAAGTAATCTTCACTTTTAATTTAAATTTAGTCAGTTTCATTGCTTCTACAAAACACATGCTGAGATTTTGATTAGATGAGCTGAATAGACTAATCTGGAGAGAATAGTCATACTAACAATATTGATCCACGAACATAGTATGTTTTCCCATTTATTTCATTTTCCAGTTACTCTTAGTCATGTTTGTAGTTGTTAGGGAACACATCTTAGGCATATTTCATGAAGTTTACTAAACTTCTTAATGTGAATGTGAATGGCATTTTAGTATCACAGTTTGTAAATCTTAATTTCCTCTATGTGGAAAAGCTAATTTTGTTAACTGATCTCACATCAAGATTGTGATGATAATGTATTAGCTCTAATGTTTTTTTTCTCATTTGTTTGTTTTTGAAAGATTTTTTGGACTTTTCCATTATCTGTGAATATAGTCATCCCTCTACCCCCCTCCCCCAAGCTTTAATTCTGATCTGTGTTCTGAAGATGAAGGTTTCTGTCCTACCTGGTCCCAAAGCTGCTTTGCTCCAAATAGCTGCTTTGCTATACTAATTACAAAACTGTTGGCCAATGGCTAGGGCTTCTTATTGGCTAACTCTACCCTTAATTATTAACCCACATCTACTAATCTATGTATTTCTAAATGGCCTTCTCTTGCCAGAGAATGCCTTGCATGTCCTGTCTTTTCGGTCTCTACATGACATCTCTGTGGCCTCCCTCTGCCTTCCTCTCCCCAGTCTTCTCCTGGTCTGGTCACCCTGTCTATGCTTTCTGTTTGGCTAATAGCCAAACAGTGTCTTATTCATCAACCAATAAGAGAAACATATAGACATCCCCCATCAGTGTTCATTTTGTTTCTCTTTCTTGTGTTTTAGCACAAATGTTGACCTCTAATGTGCTGGCTACTGAAGGTCAGGGAAAGTGCTTGGTTCCTTATTGCCTTTTATGTCTTTTATTTATTTGTTTATGCTTTTGTTTCAAGATAGATCTTGCTTGGTACTTACTGTGTAGCTCAGGCTGCTCTCAAATTCATAGTTATATTCTTGTTTCCAGTTATATAAGTACTAGGTTTTACAGAACTTTGTCCACTATCCCTGACCACCAGTCCTTTTACCACCAATTATTATGTTAATGTTAGGTACTGGGTACCTAATATTAATTGGAAGAATTTTCTTTTGTTTTTAATTTGGTGAAATGTGTTTATCGTGATTTAATAGGGATCATGAGAAACAAATAGACCAAATAGATATTCAGGGAGAAATAACTTACAATATAGACAGATGAACACCAGCTGGTTCCTGGTCCCAAGGATGCTTCTGGATGCTCTCCTGTCCCTGTGCTCCCAGGTTCCTTCTCAGATCTAGTTCCCCAAGGTAACTTCCACCCCTGTCTCCACCCCCAATGGGCGTGGTCAGTGTCACAGATGTGGACAAAATCAATATCTCACTACATGTGTTTTTAATCCTAAGTGGATATCCATTTTTCAAACATTTTTTTGTGACTTTATTAAGATCATCTTCTGACAATGGTTGCATTAATTGGATCCTAAAATTTATCCATAGAAGACAAAATGTGTTTTGTAGCCATTAATTAATATGTTTACAAGAAATGCTGTGTATGTCATTGAATTCAAACATCTTTATTTAAACTAAGAATTTGTATCATTTAGTGACATTGTATGGTAAATGGGCACCAAATGAATAGGGCTATGTATAGGACATGTAGTCTCCTTGTGTGGAGTTGTTTTGGGCTGGGGTGGGGGCTTGGAATAGTTCTTAGTTGTTGGTGGAACAGTAGCTATATAGAGAAAGGTTTGAAACATCATAGCTAAACACAGACCATAATAACAATTACAGCATTTTCATGTCATCAGAGAGTGTTAAATGTGACATACTGGAATATAGAAAAGTACCCTGAAGAGTAGAGAGATAGTTCTACAAACCAGAGAAAGTCAGCAGTTAATCAGGAGCAGTTACGTAGATGAGGGATTTCCTTTTAGGATTCTAAGAGGACCCTTGCCCCCATGATCCTGACCTTTCATCCATCACCCTGCAAGCCATTTGTGGATAGCTAGTTTGATGAAGAATCAAGTCTCTGCCTGCTTCAGGTGGCCCTCTTCTGTTCCTACATTGTGTAGTAGTGGTTTCTTGGTTTGTTTCTTCATGAAAAATTTTCTACCTTCAATAAAGCTTATGCTTCCTCCACCCTATCTGGTCCCAGCTGTGGCCCTAGTAACAGCTGGACAACTACTGGCATTTACTTTCTTCCCCCCTCTAAATGCTTTTAAATGTTTGACACTGATTTCTAACAGCTTAGTAGCTTTCACATAGGTTCCTACTGTGACACCAAAAGAAACTCATTTTGCATAATTTTTTTTTCACCTCACATGGACACCGAACAGGAATTTTACAACATCTTTAAAACATGCAAGGTACTTCAATCAGTGCTATTTCCTTTTTTAAAAAGAAGCGCTGGTTGGATCCCTCCAATGGGCTTAGTCACAGTTTAAGAAACACTATTTTAACTGCTATTTAAAGGATAGAATTTGTAAATGGATCAAGGGCATTTATTATTTTAATTCACTAGTGTAAAAAACTATTCAAAATGTTAGTTACTATTTTAATTTCACACATTTTCCTTTTAAATGGCCTAAAATTGATTAGACTTAAGACAAATTAATTCACATCACTGAGACGGAAATTTAATTTAGATCATGTTTAAATTGAATAATTTTCTCTTAAAACACACCTTCTGGTTTAATTTTACACATGGGTATACTTTTCAGGAGATAGTAGTTTTATTTGATAGAAGTAAGCTTATATTTTGGTTGAAATATAATACTAGAAAATTTTCTCTCTTTCCTGGAGGTTATCAAAACAGATATTGAGATGTTATTGAAGAAATAAATATTTTCCCAAGTTCAATAAGAGCACACATTTAGGTTTTTATTTTGCCCAAAAATATGGAGAGCAAAATCATTTCAAGGAAT